TATTATTATTATTATCATTATTATTATTATTATTATTAGATGGCTTTTTACTGTTTTGTTACTTTTAGCCAATCCTTTAGCCACTGTTAGCTTTTAGCCAGCCTTTTGCTACTCTAAGGTAACCATGTGTTATTTTTTGTTTTTCATCCAAACTTTGATTAATTATAAGTTTTAGTTAGCCTTTTGTTATTTTTATTGTTACTCATAGCCTTTTAGCAACATTTAGCTAACATTTTGCTACTTTTTTCTTTTAGCTATTGTTTTATTGCCTATAGGCCTAACTAGTATTTGGCTGGTTTTAAGTTCCCATATGCTGCTTTTATGTTTTTACCCAGATTTTGGCTAAGTATAGGTTAGTGTAACAATTACATTATTTTTGTTGTTAATTTAATCTTTTAGCCAGACATTTGCTGCTGTTATCTACTGTTTTATCATTTTAGGTTTTAGTTAGTCTTTTGCTGCTTGTGGATTTTAGCTAGTGTTTTGCTCTTTACAATCTTTAAGCTACTGTTCTTTCAATTTTTAGCTAATGTTCTGCTTCTTTTCCCTTTAAAATTTTATTTTCAGCTTCTTCAGCAAGTAATTTTTAAGACCTAAGCAGAACATTTTAGTAGTTTTCAGAACTTCTGTTTTCCCTGTGGCTTTTTATTCACCAAAAAAGATGATAAGAAGGATAATATGTCACATTGTAAAACAGCTGAATTTGAAGACATCCTGCAGACATGAAAGGCTTCTCAGTTTACATAGCAAGGCTGGGGGAATTATGAATGACCAACGACTTCAACTTTTGTCAGTCGTCACTTTTCATTGAAGGTCAGCGTGGAATCAGATTTCCAGGTAAGTGGAGAATCAAAGAAGCTAGTGAAAAGCAGATATCAAACAAATATCAAAGATCAACTCTTCATTTAAGTCTTCACATGTGGGACTTAATGTTAACCTGATGGGGCTTTTCTCGTGACTTTGATGCTGTGAGAATAAAGAGCAGAAGTTTAATAGCTGGGCCTGTCACCTGTTCACACATGAAGAGCAGTGGATCACTCTGCTGTTTGTTAAAAACAGATCAAACAATCAGCAAAATCATAAATGACCTATTGAAAAGGTTAAATGTTTATTAAACCATTAAATAATTCTCTTAAATTGTGCTCATAATCCAAAAAGTATTTTCTGATTATTAATAATTTGAATGAAAATGGACTAGGCTTTCTTGTTGATGGAGTTTGGACTTATGTGACCTGAAACTAAAATGATAACACTCTTTCAGAGATGAGGATGTTCTCATTCTTGATAGAGAGGGACACTGGTTTGAGAGAGGAGTAAAAGAAGCCATTTTTGTGAAGAAAGACCGTCCATCATTAAACAGAGGTGGAGGCCTCCATTTTCAATTATCCCCCTCCTACAGCGCTGCCATTGGCAGTATCACTCCACCCCCTGTTAACAATAAGTGTTAATTAGGTGTGAACGATAGCCATGTGATGTGAGTATCAGTCAC